CCCACACACACACTGCCTGCCCCCTGCCCTGAAGGACATAGGCAATGCCGGGTAAGTCTGCTAGTATATTTATAAACAAAAAGACAATGAGGAAAATAGAGCCCTGCTGTGGGCAGTACAATGTTGGCAGGGCAGAATGTGGCCCAGTATGATGTTTTTAGGCTGCATACATTGCATAGCCACTGCCACTAATCCCTCTGTAACCATTACAGGGGGTTAGTTACAAGACTCCGATGTGCAACTGTTTAGGAGCATTGGGGATAAAGATGCAACATTGCTATTGTCATAGTTTATATATTTATTATATTATTAATTGTTTCTTCTTTAGGCATGAGATGGAATATGTACAAAACAAATGGAATGGTCACTAAAAGAAATATTAAAGAAATTCATGTAACTATTATCAAAGGAGGAATCTTGTACTTGTGAGATGTTGATTGATTCATTAACACTGAATAGATTTTGCATGTACAACGTAGATTCTGAATATTACAGGTTGTACCTCCCTTAACCAGGGCTCCCAGGGCAACTTCTGTGGTCTGGCATGGACCATGGATGTTCCTGGGCCACAGAGTCCAGAGTGTATGTGCATGTGGGGGGAGGTTGGATGGAATGGCAGGGTGTTCTAGCCCCGGCGAAGCCCCCTGGCCCCAGCAGCTGGGGAGCCCTAGCCTGGCTGCAGCCGTGGACCTCTTGCCCCGGCCAGGGAACTCTGGCCCCGTCCCCAGGCGTGGAGCTCTGGCTGTGTTCTCATTCCAGAGGCTGGGGAACTCCAGCCTCAGCCCCAGCAGCAGACAGAGAGCTCTGGCTTGGGCCGCAGAGCTCCATCCCTGTCCCTCTGCCCCAGCCACAGAGCTCCAGCCCCAGCCGCTGAGTCAGGTGGCTGTAGAGCTCTGCCCTGGCTGTGGAGCTCTTGCTGTGGCGCTCCAGCCCTGCCATCAGCGCAGCTGGGAGAGCCCTGGATGGCTGAGGCTGCAGCAGGGGCAGGCTGGAGCCATAGCCTGGTGGCAGCACCGCCACAAGGGGAAGGACTTTCCCTGGTCCAACAAATCCCTTGTTCGGAAGCAGTCAGGTCCCCAGGGTGCTGGACCAGCGCTGTTTAACTTGTATAAGCAAAAGTAGCTGAGTACTAAGCCCAGGAGTTCTCATTCTCTGTGGGAATTTTGTTTCTTGTCTATAACCTGCTGACAGGAATTTAAACATTTTTGAAAGCATATTCTCTTCTGTAGTAGGGGAGAGACAACAGTTAAAAACCAAACATGCTATTACAGCATCCAATTCATTTGGCAAACAGTGCCAATAAAAGACTTACTGTAAATCAGCTTATGCTACCCAGTGAACAACATAAATGAATGCAAAATAAAAAGGTACATTCCAACACTCTTAGCAAGTTTCAGTGAATAAATAACCTCCTTTGCCCACCAATGCACTGAAGTTTGTGCTGGGTATCTCTGTAGGAAATAGTTTAATCTGCTCAGAAGCTTAAAGTTAATCTTTGCAAAAGAACGCATACTCATTCATCAGGAATTAGGTATTATGCCTTTGTAAAGATAACATGATTTTTAAAGACAAAGTGCAGTATATTTAAAAACAAAGGGGTCTGTTTTTCACTTGATACTTGGGAAACATATGTGGGTAACTGTTTATAGGGGTGACCCTTGCAAAGCCCTACTGAATACATAGTAAACTATTGAGGTTCGATAACCTATTTTTCTTCTTTTCCTGTGCAGCTCCACCTTATTGCCTTTCTAGCTTCAGAACATAATTTTTAATGGAGAAGTAGGACAACTTATGCTGCATTGTACTGTGTGTGCAAATCTACTACATCTACTACAGTGACAGGCTTCCCATAAAGACCTATGATAAAAAGAATGTGTGCGTTACATTATTTGTTTGGTCTCACAGTACAATATGACACTAGAACAGCCAGGACTAAAAGCATGATCCTCCATCACTTGAACTGAAAATACTAAATCTACTGGCTGGGAGCTGTAGCAGACTTTGTGGATCAGCCATTAGAGAGGCATGTGCAATGCACCCTGAACAGTGGCCACAGTCAGAGCTCATCATGTCAAGACATCGTGAGAATTCATAGTTAAAAGAAGACCCCTTTCGAAGTTGCAATCAAACTCCCAGAGGCTCCCATGTTTCAAGAGCTCAAAAAGGTTGTTCTCCCTCCGCCATGTATAACTCCTTCTAATCTCTTACATGCATGTAAGAAGAAGAGTACAGACCCCGTTTTAACTATAAACTAATTAATATAATTAAATAAAAGACACAAAGTCTAATAATAAAAGTGCCTAATTCATACAGCCTGAAACATAGGCCCACACTAAGCAAGCCTCTTTGGTTAGCAAGGAAGAATCACAGGGAGGGACTATTACTTTACCTTATGGCTGCTTCTACTTCACTTCCAGGAACAGTTGTCACATTTTTGGAAGAGTCTGTGACCACAAACCAAAATGACACCCTCTCTGTCATATTGCAAAGCAGCACATTGGAAATTCTGTGAACATTTAAAACAACACAAATAATACAAAAGTAAGTACAAAATAAAAGTACTTACAAAAGTGGTAGATGTTATCACTATATTCTGCAGTTATTTTAGTCTCAGGAGAAAAATCTTTTAGAAAAGGAAATTAGTAGCTTCTGTAAATATGACTAAGAAAGAAGTACTGATTATACCATTTCCTATCCTCCAATACTAGAACAAAACACCAGCAATATTCCTGTATTTATATAGGCTTTATTTTATTTTATTTTATTTTATTTTTAAAATACATTTTCTGACCATATAATCACTGTCATTTCACCATTAGAAAATGTGTTATTACAAGTTAGCCAAGTCTTACATCATATCATGTTGAAATTTAATCAGTGCATTTGTGGGGCCAACTTTTTGTCCTGTGTTTGTAAAGTACCCACCACAAATGGGGTCCTGGTCCAACACAGTGTTACTCAACTATTTGAGGCTGTGTTGGTCCCTTGTTCCCCCACTGGAAGCAAGAAGGCTGTGGAGACTTTGTCTGATTGCAAACCTCTTTTACAGATTTTCGGTCTTGAGCAGGAGTGGACAAATACTGACTAATGGGCTGGATCTGGTCCATAAGGATTAGTTCCTGGTGAGCCCTCACCTCTATGTTTACCTGTGCTTCCACAGTATTGGGTGAACACAACTCTCGTTGGCTGTGGATCACCGTTCATGGTGGGAAGCAGTGTCCTCAGTCCATGCCACTTCCCATTGGTAACAAACGGCGATCTGTGGCCAAGGACAGCTGCAATCGCCAAATACCTACAGCAGCACAGGTAAACATAGTGTCAGCAGCCTGCCAGGGCCATCACTTTTTTACTATCCACTCCTGATCTTCAGCCTCTCTGCGGCTATGTCTAGACTGCAAAGTTTTTCTGGGATACCAAAGGTCTGCCATGTCCAGGGAATGCGTCCGCTTTTTTGGAACAGTTTCTGAAAAAGTGGGCGCGTTCTTTCGGCATCCCTGTATTCCTCTTGGTGAGAAGAATAAGGGATGTTCCAAAAGAGGAGGCTTTTCCAGAATTTGGCCCAGTGTAGATGGGCCAAATTTAGGAAAAGCCACTTCTGAAAAAAAGCAGAAAAAGATACGCAAATTGCGGTTTGCAATTTGCGTATCTTTTCCCAATCAAATTCTGCAGTCTGGATGTAGCCTGAGAGCTTTTATGCCTGAAAAAGCCACCCTCGCCCTGGGAACAAATCTAGTCAGTGGGAGTTGAGTAGATTGTGGAGACAATGAGTTAAGTTTTCTTGGGACTATTGAACCACACACCATTCTAAAACTGACCCATTGCCTTTCAGTTCTGTTAAGTTACATTTAACTATCTAGAGACAGAAACATTCAGATGGATGTGAAGCAGTTAATGGAAGCTGTATTTGCGATCAGATTTTCATGAGTTTGCTACATAAAATTGAGTCTGAAAATACCTTTATAATTTTTTGATTCTTGTACACTTATCATAACTCATAAGGAAAATACCATTAGAAATATATGCACGAATAAAATCCTATAGGAATGTAAAGTATAACTGACAATAGCTGACTTTGTATTCTGAAACTAAAAGGTGGTCAGACTGCTGAGACTGCAGTATCTGAACAGTTTTTAGTTGAAATTTGTGTAAGCAGCTATTCTGAGCAAGTTACACTTGCAGATCAAACTCAGGAATTAGGGTCCAGACTTACTTCCACTGAATTTCCTGGGCTGATTATCACCTGCACTAATTCAGCAGAGCCCTGGCAAGTCTCCATGCTATGGGTACATCTACACATCAGCGTTATTTCGAAATAACAAAACTACAAACCTTTAATGTTGAGCTGGAGCACTTTTTACTCCGACTCATAGTAATTCGCCTTTCAAGAGGAATAAGGGAAATTGAAGAGTGTTCTTTCTTTGACTTCCTGTTGTGTAGACAGTGCCAAAAGCCTAATGCTGAAGTTGTGTAGCTTAATTTGACTTTAGCCCTGCTGTGTAGATGTACCCTAAGCGTATGTCTACACTACAGAGTTTTTTTGGAAAAACAGCCATTTTTCTGAAAAAAACTTCAATTATGTCCACACTGCAATCACGTTCTTTCAAAAGAAAATCAAAAGAACAGAGGAGTTTTTCCGACATTGGAAAGAAGGAAGGCTACGAGGAAGAAGCCTTTTTCCAAAAGAGCTCTTTCGGAAAAAGGCGTGAGTGGACAGGGAAGAGGGAGTTCTTTTGCAAGAGGAGGAAAGAGGAAAAAGCACAGGTGCCCTGGTGGCCATTCTGTCCATGGTAATCACAGCTTACATGCGAGAGAGCGTCCATTCAGTGTGGACACTATCTTTCGAAAAAGCAGATGGCTTTTTCGATGCACTTTGGCAGTGAGGACGTGCTCTCTTTCGGAAGAAGTTTTTTCGGAAGGTCTCTTCTGGAAAAGCTTTTTCTGAAAGAATCCTGCCGTCTAGACATAGCCCTAGGTCACTGGCAGAGATCCCCACTGGGACACATGAATTCCTAAGCCTATACATGCAAGTAATTATAATGCCTAGTATTTATTATTATTATTATTCCATTGATTCCTCCTTATTTTTATGGCGCAGCCCATCCTCAAATATAAATGTTAACATATATTTTCTTCTGCCAACAGCTACCTTCGTCTCAAAACATAAATGTTAACATATATTTTCTTCTGCCAACAGCTACCTTCGAGTACTGTAATGTTCTATAGTGACATCTGCTGGCTGATCAGAAACATAATTAAGTGACTTCTAGAAATCCTCGGGATTCCTGATAAATGCAACAGAAGGTTGGCACAAGGTAGGAGGTTATGGAGAAGAACAGTCATGGCCTATACAACTATAGCCTTGATTTGGAAGGAAGTGGGCTAGGTTCTGAGGCAGAATAGAGATATGCTTGTTATGTTATGTTATTTATTTGATTGTTACCAGATATTGTTAAGAAATGCCACATTTATTGTATGTTTTAGTGATGTGAGGTTGCCTAATGCTTTAGATAGAAGAAGCCTTTCTGGTTTCAGAACCTGAAATACACTGTGTAGAGATATGCACTAGAATTACACCCTCTGTTATTTTTGGAAATTTGAACTATGTTGTTAACCTCCACCATGTCCATGATTGTAAGCGGTTTATAAATTTCAACAACACAGAAAGCATGCTTGAATAAAAGCCAAAGGCAGACCTCTGTGTTTTAAAATGTTTTGCTTCAGTTTGTTGACAATAGAAAACTACTAGTTTGTTTCATTTATAAGATAATTTAGTTGGAATTATCATACCACCTTCAAAGATGGATCTCAACTGAAAGTTTGGGTCCACATCTACTTACAATCTTTCCCAAAATGCTTAGTTGTAGTTCCATCTCTATTTATATAATTAACAGGCAAATGCTTTTATTAATATTTTAATAATTCGAACAGCAAGACTCAGGAAAATAGGTCAATTTTCCTTCCTTTCAGCTCCCTGTTGCATATAAAATCCTTGCACAATTATAATCATACAGAACTTGGCTTCCCTGCCATTCTTCATCAGCAGAATGTGAGAGTAGCAAATCCTAGGCTTTGAAAGGAATGATCTTGTTGTTCATGGGAATTTCAAGGAGGCTGAGTAAACACCAAGATGAACTACCATGTAACACACAAGTTTACATATCTTTTCACAGTGTGGTTATCATACAAAGTTACTCTTTTATATATACTAGGGATGTGAATGGGTAACCAGTTAACTGGTCAAAGTTATTCTTTTATATATACTAAGGATGTGAATGGGTAACCAGTTAACTGGTTCTCCAGAAGCAGCCCCCTGCCTGCAGCCTGCAGCCTGCAGCCTGGGGCTGGTCAGAAGCAGCCCCCTGCTTGCAGCCTGCAGCCTGCAGCCTGCAGCCTGGGGCTGGGAGCTGGCAGCAGCCTTGGCGCAGGGGCTGGGAGCCGGCAGGGAGGGCTGGAGCACTGAGATCCCACTAGTCCGTTAACGAATTAAACATTTGGTTAACCTAACGTTTAACTAGTTAACTGATTAACTGGGATTTTACATCCATAGAAACGTGTAGGTTTCTAAGAGAGCAAAGCATCTTTTCTAATGGGGGAAGTACCAGATTGTCAAGAAATAAAAGAAAGTTCAGTGAGCCAAAGAGCAATGCAGAGACACGTAGCTTCTGTGCAGACCTTGTCCTCTCCTGGATCATAGGAAGACCCCAGAATTTGGGTTCTTCTGATGCCCTTGGTCTGACATTTTGCAAGGCAGCAGATGCTTCTCCTCCTCATAGAACCTCCTATAACCAACAGGGCCAAAACATTCATCTTGACATAATCAGTTCAAATCTGAGAACACATGAAGATTTATAATTCCATTTCTAAATGATCAAAATACTTCAAATGCAGATGTAATCCTTGTGTAAAAGAGACAGAAAAAGTTTGGTTTTGTCTAGCAGGGCAGTGAAAAATAATGCAGATTTTTAAATATAGCATTGATAAAAGTTATGGCAACAACCGATTTCACTGTTAAATTAAAAGAAATTTTTTCACATTCTTTATGTGCTAAAGATTAACTTGTCTCCAACACAAAAGAGATGTACATTATTTAAAATGAGTCACAGATTAGGGAAACTAGGGTTACCAACACAAATTACAAAAGATCAGGTTTTTACACTGTGCAGTCAGAGACTGGTTCACATAGTTCATGAATGTCTGTCTTTCAAAGTGAATTACAGAACCCTAGTAAACAAGAAATCAAGGATTTGTGCCTCTGCTGCAAAAGTTTAAATTTTACAATAAACACTCATTTCCTGTTCATTATTGCAGAATACTCAAATGGGTAGTATAATTTTTCTGTTTCACACTACTTTGTCAATTTAATGTCTTTACAATGTTAAGCTCAAATCGGTGAGTTAGTTTTTTTAAATTCTAATTGGATAAATTTTTGGTTGAAATTTGAATATAAGGGAAACCTTCACTGACTTGCTGCTAGAAAATAGGGTCTGAACAGGACTTAGTAGTGAC